GGGGGGGGGGGGAGATGAGGCAGCAGATTGGGGTCTGGCGGACGCGTTAGCAGGCCACAGGCAGGCAACAAGGGGCCCGCTCGCGCGCTGACCGCGCAGGTCACAGCCCAACAGGCACCTTGATGTTCCATACCCGTCACTTGCCACAACCTCATCACATTGCACCCCCCTAACCTGCCGCGCCGCATGCCCCGAATATTGGCACCTGCAACCTTTGGCCTTGCAAATTTTCGCCTCTCATCGCCTTCTCATCCACAGGTCCGGCGCCGACAAGATCAGCATAGGCGGCGACGCGGTGGACGCTGCCGAGGATTACTACGCGTCCGGGAAGAAGCTGACCGGTCAAACCGCCATCGAGCAGATCAGCCAGGTCTACGGCAAGCAGGCCGTCGTGGTGGGTGGCACGGGGATTGCTCAATGCAAGGACTGTTGATCATGAATTTGCGGACTCCCTGTCTTGAGAGCCGACGCTGCGGATTTGACGCCTTGACCCGGGAGTCGCCCCGGCTCGGCGGCGCCAGTGCGCGGTCCAGGCGCAGGAACGGCCAGCGGGCCAAGCAAAGCGCGCAGGGGCGAGCGATTTTTTGAGGTGCAACGCCCAGCATCATCGTCGCGCCTCATCAACCGAGGTGCACGTGCAACTGCCCGGCCGAGGCACGGCACCCCGCAACCTTCAGATCTCTGCACCTTCACACTTCCTGTTCGCACTCCTGTTAAAACAGGTGTCCATCGACCCCCAGCGCGTGTACGTGTCTGACCCGGCCTCCACGCCCCACACCTGCGTGCCCGCGAGCGAGCCGGGCCCCAACGGCGAGGCGTGGTGCTGGTGGCAGTGCACCGTCAAGGGCGGCCGCGAGGCCCGGGACATCGACGCCGTCGCGGTGGGTCGGCGGCGGCGGCGGCCCCGCGGCCGCGGCTGCCGGCGGCGCTTCTGCTGCATTTGAGCGGGGCCCCGTGGTGCGGTCGGGAGTGCACATGCCGTTTTTCGTGACCGGCCTCCTGGGGTTGTGCCGTTTTTTGTGGCACAACCCGACGCACCCTCTCATGCCTGCACTGTTTTGTGGCGATTCATGGATCCTGCTTGCAGGTGTCCAAGGCGGTGGAGGCGCTGGGGGCTGGCGAGATCATGCTCAACTGCATCAACAACGACGGCAAGGGGCAGGTGCGTTCACGCCGCAATCAGTGATTCTTGAGCGTAATACGAACTGCTTTTGAGCCTGGTTGAGTCGAGCGCCTGCCGCGCAGCCCTTTCGTTCGCGACACGCCGTCAGGGTGGCGTGGAGGCACTTGGGCGAGACCTGGCGGTACTCGAGGTGCAGCACTCGCCAGCAAGTTGTCAAACAAGCGGTCAAACAAGCGGTCAAACAAGCGGTCAAACGAGCGGTCAATCAGGCGGTCAAACAAGCGGTCAAACTCCTTTCCCCCAGGGCTTTGACCTGGCGCTGGTGGATGCCGTGTCCAAGGCCGTGACCATCCCTGTCATTGCCAGCAGCGGGGCCGGCGCGCCGGAGCACTTTACCGAGGTGCGTGCCAGGGACACCACTCTCTTTAGACATTTTCCCTCCCGGACACTCACTGCAATGCTTGGCAGACAGCAACTGCCAAACATAGCGCAACACGCGCACGATTTGCCGCTCCCCGTCGCATCAAACGATTGTATTGCAGGTGTTCCAGGGCACAGGCGCCGCAGCGGCGCTGGCAGCGGGCATCTTCCACCGCAGGGAGGTCGGCATTGACCAGGTCAAACGCCACATGGTGGACAACGATGTGCCCGCTCGGCTGTAATCTGGTGTGGCCTGTTTTATATTCTCGGTCGACCATATGACTCTACTTGTTTCATATTGATGCGGCGGCGGTGCGCGCCGCTGCCTGCATCAAGAGTCTACCCGAGCAGTGTGCCTCTCTGCTTTGGCCTTGCGATTCAATTGCTCATGCGCATCGCACCATGTTTTTGCCATTCCGTGGAAACGCCCTCGGTGTAACGCAGTCATTCATCATGGGTGCTGCGACGCGCCGCTTGGGGGTGCGCAGGCGGTCGGCAACTCTCAGAGAAAAGGGCCCGCTTGCCAGTCGGCGTGCCCAATTGAGGCAAGCGGCGCTGCACACTGCGCCGCTCCATTTTTTGTCGTGCGTCTTTGTTCGCTCAGCCAAAGCTCCGTGCGAGTACCGGGCCGGCGTGTCGGCCACCTACTCGCCATGCTTGCCACTCTTCATGAGCAGATAGGCTGCCAGTTGCCTCCCTCCCGGCAGGCAGTGTCTAGGTGGAGGAGTGTACTGGGCAGCTCGGGCTGCAGCGGCATATGGACGGGCGGACTGTGGGGCGTGAGCAGTCCGTCCACCCCTTGCGAGCAGCCTGGTAGGAATCGCGACTCCTTGAGTCGTGAGGGGCCGCAAAGCTGCTCGTGGCACGAGCGTCTTCAGCAAAGCGCAATCACCAGTGCAGGCGCGACCCGGTGGCCCATCAGCCGGCGCACAGTGCACCCATTCGCTGCATCAGCATCCGAACGCTGCGAAAACTGGGTGGGACCTGCTCCATAGACGCAAGCTGGAACCTCAGTTGCATGAAGCTCGCAATTGCAAGTGATTTTGTCAAAACTGTTCCCTACATGTCTATGGATCAAGCATCTTGCAGCGCGGCTACCCCACGTTGCTTTGAACAAAGACGCAGAGTCTGCATGCACATGAGGGTGCTGCACTGGCGGAGTCCCTCCCCCCCATTTTGCCTCACGAACTGACCCGTTCAGCAGCGTCGACCCGCGCGTGCCCCCCTGTGCGCGGGGCCCCAGCCTTCCTGCATCACCCCCATTTTCGCCCCCTCTCATCGCAGACCCGGCTGAATTTTGTGGCTCTGGCCGATGAAGGAAATCGGGGTACGCAAGGGCGTTACAAGCAAGCAAGCAATGCCATGCGGCAAAACAGGAGTGCCCAGCAGCAGCTCCAGCTCACTTCCAAAGCTGCGGGGTGAGGGGAGGGGGCCAGACGGGTGGCGGGTTGGGAGGGGTCAGACCCACGAATTGCGGTTGAAAAAGTGGGGACGCCAACGGGAGGAGGAATTGCACCGCAAGCGGACACGCCTGAAGCCCTCCACCGCCCCGCGCCGGCGTCGCAAGGGCGCGCCAGCTCCCCCCACCGGCGCGGGGCGCACCCGCCGCCGGCGCGCTGGACCCTCCCCTCCCCTTGTCCCGCGCCCCGCCGCGGCCCGGTCGGCGCCACCCGCCCCCACCTTTTTGAGTGACATGTTCTTGTCGTCCCCGGCCTTCTTCACCTTGGCCACCGCCATCTCAAAGTCCTCCTGGGGGGGGGGGGGAACCCACGCAGGCCAGGGGTGGTGAGTCAGCAACAGCATCAGCGCCTCGTTGTCTCTCTCTGTATCTGTCTGTCTCTCTCTGTCTCTGTGTGTATCTCTCTCGCATGCACAAATGTGCGCGTGCTGTGTGGTAGGCCCGGTGCGCTGGCTGCGTCCGCGAGACGGCGTGCTGGTGACGTGCTGCGGTGGCTGACGGGTGGGAGCACCTTGAACTATCCCTTTCACCCCCCCAACCGACCCATGCTTCTACGACCATCGCGAAGTGGCCCCGAACGCGCGTCCCACAAACGGCCCCTGCCCCAGGCACCCCTCCGCCGGGAGCGGCCCGCCGCGCCACCCCATGCAGCGCCAC